AAAAAAAAAAAAAAAAAAAAAACAAACAAAAAAAAACAACTAACCAAACTGTTCCTGAAATTCAGCCATGATCTTGTGCAACACTTAATCTGTAACATTAGAGCAAAATGAAAAAATTCCCATTGCTTAACTTGAATTCACCAGGTCCTGCAACAAACTGGATCCCAAAAATGACAATGTAAAGTCAGACGCCTCTCCATCACTGAATGCAGTTTCATCTCCAGGCTTGCTTTGCCTTCATTTTTAATTCTTTTTTTTTTTTGAGATGAAGTCTCGCTCTGTCACCAGGCTGGAGTGCAGTGGCATGATCTTGCTTCACTGCAACCTCCGCCTCCCAGGTTCAAGTGATTCTCCTGCCTCAGCTTGACAAGTAGCTGGGACTACAGGTGTGTGCCACCACCTGTATCTTTAGTAGAGATGGGGTTTCACCATGTTGGCGGGGATGATCTTGAACTCCTGACCTTGTGATCTGCCCACCTTGGCCTTCCAAAGTGCTGGGATTACAGGCATGAGCCACCCCGCCCAGCCCATTTCTAATTCTTAACATATAATCATACAGAAAAATATTTATTTGCTATATCTATGGAACTTTTAAAGTGCTTTTTTTTTTTTGAGATAGAGACTTACTCTGTTGCTCAGGCTAGAGTGCAATGGCATGATCTTGGCTCACTGCAACTTCCACCTCCTGGGTTCAAGTGATTCTTTTGCCTCAGCCTCCTGAGTAGCTGGTACTACAGGCATGCGCCACCATGCCTGGCTAATTTTTGTATTTTTAGTAGAGATGGGGTTTCACCATATTGGTCAGGCTGGTCTCGAACTCCTGACCTCGTGATCCACCCACCTCAGCCTCCCAAAGTGCTGGGATTACAGGATCGAGCCACTGTGCCTGGCCCTGTGCTTATTTTTTATTTAAGCAAATAAAGCCTTTAAACATTTATTCCAAAACCACAAAAATAAAGCTCCCTTTACGTATGTGGCCTCTATGAAAAAAAATCTTATTTCTCAATCCTCTACTAGTATAATAAAAAATAGGCCTGGTATGATGGCTCACACCTGTAATCCTAGCACTTTGGAAAGCCAAGGTGGGCAGATCGCTTGAGCCTAGGAGTTCAAAACCAGCCTGGGCAACATGGTGAAATCCCATCTCTACGAAATAACAGAAGAATCAGCCAGGCATGGTGGCGCACACCTGCGGTCCCAGCTACTCAGGCGGCTGGGAGGTGGGAGGATCACTTGAGTCTGGTAGGGTGAGGCTGTGGTGAGCCATGATCGCACCATTGCACTCCATAATGCGCGACAGAGCAAGATCTCACCTCAAAAACATGAAAAAGAAGAAGAAAGTCTTTGCTTCAGCTTCCTGAGTAGCTGGGAATGCAGGTGCACATCACCACACCCCGCTCATTCAGATGTTTTTAATGTTTAAGCCATTATACCTGGTAGGCAGGAAGTTACCTCCAATGAGATATATGCTGCATTCCTTTGCTACTTCAGAAAGTTTCTGTGTGGATTCACCAGGAATTTTCTCTGCATATTCAGGAAAATATTTCACTCCATATGGAGAATTAAAGCATTCCTAGAAAAATGTTGGCAGAGAAGAAAAAGATCAAAACACACAACCATTTTAAAGTTCTGCTGTTAAGAGGCCACACCTGCTACTTCTAGCTCTGCTTTCAGTTGAAGGGTTAAAACACAGCTAATAGGCCAGGCGCAGTGGCTCAAGCCTATAATCCCAGGACTTCGGGAGGCTGAGGCGGGTGGATCACGAGGTCAAGAGATCGAGACCATCCTGGTCAACATGGTGAAACCCCGTCTCTACTAAAAATACAAAAACTAGCTGGGTATGGTGGTGCGCACCTGTAGTCCCAGCTACTAGAGAGGCTGAGGCAGGAGAATTGCTTTAACCCAGGAGGCAGAGGTTGCGGTGAGCCAAGATTGCACCATTGCACTCCAGCCTGGGTAACAAGAGCAAAACTCCGTCACACACACACACACACACACACACACACACACACACACAACGCAGCTAATAATAAAACACTGATACCTCAAGGGTAAAGTGACTACAAAGCCAGCCCAGTGGGGTAAGAGAGGCAAGTCACATCAGCTCTCCTAGAGCTCATTAAAAAAAAAAAAATGTTGGAAGCTTAGTGATAAAGCCAACATGTTCTGGTCCTATAAAGACTTAATTATATAAGGAACAAAGTATCCAAACACTGAGTATTTTAGTTTTCCATAAGTCCCTCAATATACTAGGATTTTGGCTTCCTCATCTGAACAAAGAGGAAAATCCAAAATTAAAGACCTATGTCCATATTGGCGCATCCCACCTCACAAAGACCCCTGCTGAGGTCATCCTCCAGTCAAACACAGAACAATCTAAAGGCTCCAAGGGACACTGCCGGACCCCAGGATACAAGAGGACAAGCGGAGCTAGCAAACACTGTTCTGTTGGGTCTACAGTGGCCAGAACGGGATGGCTGCCTCCGTACTGACCGGCAAAGAAACTATTTTGGCTCCTTGCGCTGCTGCCTCCCGGATGAGGCTACAAGCTCGAGTGACGTTTTCTGATTTGATGGAAGAAATGTGAAGCTGGATGAGGGCCAAGCGGAAAGCTGAGGACAAAGACAAAAGAAAACAGCTGTCAGAAGATCAAACTGCTGAATTCAGACAGAGCCATGGTTCTCAAATGGAAGGCAATTATGTCCTTTGGGGGACATCTGACAATGTCTGAAGATACCTTTGATGCCCCAATTGATGAGGTGTGAGTGGCATCTAATGAATAGAGACCAAGGATGCTGCCAAACAACTTTATAATGCATAGGACAGCCCCCTCCACAACACAACAAAGCATTATCCTGTTCAAAATGTCCCGAGTGCTAAAGTCTATCTTGAGAGAGAGCAATATCCACAGGCAAAGTCCCATGGAGGCACAAGAATCTAGAGTGAACCAGCTTCTTACTGCAGTGTAGGAAATGAAATGAGAATATAGTCTAAAGCAAAAAGACTAGATTTGAACACATCCTGTCCCTTACTATTTGAATATGTCCTGTCCCTTACTATTTGTTTTTGGGCCTCCTGCCTACCTACAATCCATATATTGAGTATGCCCAGTACAGACAGTGCAATCCCTTGGAAGTTTGTGCAATCCCTTGGAAGCTGCTCACATACTGTGAATTGGGGCAGCCAGGTCATGGGAAGGGAAGATGTCTGTCTCAGTCTCCCCACTACTGGTTAGGTCACAGCACATTGGTCCCACTGCTGGCAGAGGGGAAACCTGGCAGCCACTGGGCTGCACACATGTCTAGTCACAGGATTAGGGTCCCAAGCACCCATGCCTAGTCACAGGATAGTGGTCCTCACACCATAAATATTCCTGTGTCCAAGAGAACACGACATTAAACAGCAAAGAGCACCATGAGAGGTTGAGAGAGATACTGCAGAAGGAAAAGCTAATAGCACTTTTGTCTCGCTATCTGAACAAGGGAACTGGGCCCCACAAATTATGTAGCCAGCCCTGGAGCAAGGAGGCTGGGGGCTCCTCCAAGCTTATTCCTTGTTGGAGGTAGTAGCTATACATTATATTTGCTTTTCCTCTATTCGAGTTCCCTTTTAGCTTTTATGATAATTACTTTTCATTAGCTAATATTTTTAATTTTGAGGCTGAGTCTTGCTCTGTCGCCTAGGCTAGAGTACAGTGGCACAAACATGGTTCACTGCAGCCTCAACCTCCTGGGTTCAGGCGAACCTCCTAAGTTCAGGGTTCCTTTGGTCTCAGCCTCCTGTGTAACTGGGACCGCATGTATGTACCACTATGCCTGGATGATTTTTTTAATTGTTTTGTAGAGACAGGGTCTCACTTTGTTGCCCAGTCTGGTCTTGAACTCCTGGACTCAAGCAATCCTCCTGCCTCAGCCTCCCAAACTGCTGGGATTACAAGCATGAGCCACTATCCTGGCCAGATAATTGTTATATAACATTTTCTACCTGGTGTGGTGGCTCACGCCTATACTCCCAGCACTTTAGGAGGCCAAGGCGGGTGGATCACCTGAGGTTGGGAGTTTGAGACCAGCCTGGCCAACATGGTAAAACCCCATCTCTACTAAAAATACAAAAATTAGCCAGGCGTGGTGGCAGGCACCTGTAATCCCCAGCTACTTGGGAGCTGAGGCAGGAGAATCACTTTAACCTGGAAGGTAGATGTTACAGTGAGTGGAGATCGCGTCACTGCAATCCAGCCTGGACGACAGAAACTCTGTCTCAAAAAAAAAGTATTTTTTTTTCCTTGTTCGAGTTACAAGTGTGGTTTCCATGTCCTGCCTGGACTTTGATGGATATATAGTTCCCACTCATAGTCTGAGGGGATGCCATAAGAATGGATCCAAAGAACATCCTAACCTATGAAGCCAGGCAAAACTTCAGGAATTATTAGTAATGGGCCTGTCCTAACTCCCCATCGTACCTGCTCCAGAGTCTGAAAATCCTACCACTAAAGAGCTATCTCTTTGCGTATTTTCCTGTAACAATGCAAATGTCTCCAGAAGAGGCAACAATGACAAACCTCAGCCTCTGATGAAGGCCTGTTTGGCTAAAGGTTAACTAAAAGTAGGAAAACTCAGATGTTCCATTCCTTGGTCTATCCTAAATACAGTGAGAAGAGCTAAATTCAACCCTACATGCAGCCTGCTAAATAGTTACAAAATCTGGGGCCAGGCACAGTGACTCACAGCTGTAATCCCAACATTTTGGGAGGCCGAGGCGGGTGGATTACAAGGTCAGGAGATCGAGACCATCCTGGCTAACACAGTGAAACCCCATCACTACTAAAAATACAAAAAAATTAGCCGGGCGTGGTGTAAGGCTCCTGTAGTCCCAGATTCACGGCAGGCTGAGGCAGGAGACTACCTTGAACCGAGGAGGCAAAGGTTGCAGTGAACCGAGGTCGCGCCATTGCACTCCAGCCTGGTTAACAAGAACAAGACGCCAACTCAAAAAAAAAAAAAAAAAAAAAAAAAAGTTACATAATCTGGAGGGAAACAATGGAAACTAAAACAAGAAGTAAAAGCTGAGATTATTCTGGGGCAAACAGACTTGAGCTGTTACCAGAACAGCAGACAAATCCCCTAAACGTCTCCCCTCCATTTGCCAGGGTTAAGCTACCCTCCCTCCTCAGCTTCCCAAGCAGCTGGGACTACAGGGGTGTACCACCAAGTCGGGCTAATTTATTTATTTTTAGTACAGACAAGGTGGCACCATGCTGCCTGGGCTGGTCTCCAACTCCGACTCCTGAACTCAAACAATCCTCCAGCTCGGCCTCCGAAAGTGCTGGGATGACAGGCATGAGCCTCGCGCCCGACCCTGTCTGTGCCTCTGAGGGGGGGAAAGATAAAGCTCACCACGGCTATACTGATGGCCTCCTCTCCTACACATCCCACTCACAAGGGCGGGGTCCTCAACTAAGCTTGGGACTGCCTGTCATTCTGCAAATGAGCCACTCTACAGCAGGGAAACCCGGCACCGAAAGTGCCTCGTGCTGAGGACAAGACGCCTGTCACTCCATCCCATCCGTAAAGTGAAGACACAAAGACTTTTGAGGCTGCCCTAATATTATCAGCATCTAACAACGGAGGCCTTACTAAAGGGGGAAAAGAAGTAAATGCTGTGCGCGAAGGGACCAACATGGAGTGACATTTAAAGCAATGCGCCAGGTCCTTCACACATGAACTCCTGCGAGGTATCATTAACATCATTTTACAGATACAGACACAGGGGACTTGCAGGGGAAAGCGGCACAAAGTCACAGATCAAAGTCAGTGACACAGAAGAATCCAAGTCAAAACCCGGAGCAGGTGCGTGAGAAGGGGGCGGGGCGGGAGAGTGAGAGGGGGCGGGGCGGGAGAGTGAGAGGGGGCGGGGCGGGAGAGTGAGAGGGGGCGGGGCGGAACCGCCGGCGCTCCTCTGGCAGGGCGGGGCTGGAGGAGCCCACGCGACCTGAAAACACCCGAGGGGTCCGATCCCACCGCCGCGGCCCACACGGTCCAGACCCCAAGTCCGTCAGCCTCTTCACGCGGGACGCAGCGCGTGCCGGCGCGGCCCGGGCGGCCTGGTGCTCTCGTGGCCTCGCCCACCGCCCTGGAAGCGTGGAATCCCCGGAGCGCGCCCGGCCGCCCGGCCACGCGATCCCGGACCCACGCGGACGCCGGCGTCAGGAAAGGCCGCGCGCGGGACAGAGGGGCCGAGCCGGCCGAGCCACCGCCGGCGCCGCTCCAAAGCCTCCCCTCCGGGCCGCGCTCTGGCTGCGACGCGCGGCCGCGTCACTCACTGGCCATGGCTGTCCCAGCAGGCACCACCCGCAGCGCGGGCTGAGCGCTGGCGTCCCGGCGGACCGTGACGGCGCTGCGGTGGGCGGGGCCCGCGTCACTCACTGGCCGTGGCCGTCCCGGCAGGCACCACCCGCGGCGCGGGCTGAGCCCTGGCGTCCGGGCGGAGCCTGCGTCAGAGGCCCCGCCCCTTCCGGTCCCGAGGAGCGGGATCTGCATTCATTCCAGCGCGCCTGGAACGCCAGGGCGGAGCAACGAGACCTGCGGAGAAAGCATGCTTCCAAAGGCAAAGGGCAAAAGGGAACGGCCTAAGTCGAGGTGGTGTGCTGGTGAATGTTTAACAACCGGACTTTTCAGGGAGGAAAGCCCTGATTTGTAGCGTTTGCCGTTTCTCCGAAAAAGACTGAACTTCGAGCTGCTTGAATCGCCTCTGTGGCCAGGGTGACAGCGTATGCTGATGGGCTTGAGCTGTTTGAACACGGCGCTGTGGCGGGGACGGAATGACCTGGTTGGTTTAGGCACGGAGACATCTGTGGGATCTGACTACAAGGCTGCTAGGCCAACGGGAAAGATGCTGAGGGTTCAACACGATACCTTCAACAAGTCCGCCCTCGAATATGTTGTCATCTCTGCTAATATTCTTTTGGGTTTTCTTTGTTTTAGACAGGGACTCATCCCTCAGCCCGGAGTGCAGTGCAGCAGTCTCGGCTCATTGCAGCCTCGACCTCCCGGGCTCAAGCGATCCTCCCACCTCCTCCCAAGTAGCTGGGACTACAGGCACGCACCACCCGGTTAGTTCTTTCTTTTTTTAAGTTTTTTACTTTTAGTAGAGATAGGGTCTTGCTGTGCTGCCCAGGCTGGTCTCAAACGCCTGAGCTCAAGCAACAGTACCGCCTTAGCCTCCCAAAGTGCTGGGACTGTAGGCGTGGCCTGTTGCGCCCAGCCTAATAGACTAAGATTTTGCATTTTTATTTATTAGATTGCATTTTAATTTTTGTGTTTTTGTGCCTTGTGAGACTTGTGGAACAAAAATCCAAAACTTACCTTTGGAATGCCCCAGAATAGTTTATACTGAAACAGATCCCGGTTTGTAAAAGAACACTATAAAAACATTTTGGGGGCAATTAAGGACATTTAAATATGAGTGACATAGTGGATGCTCTTATGAATTATTTTGTGTGCTATAGTATTGTGATTGTGCCAGTGTCTTTTCTCTTAGAAAATGATTTTAGGGATGAACTGTCGGAATGTTTGGCCTGAAACTCGTCAGCAAAAAGACAATACATACAGATAAAGCAAATATAGCAAAAATGTTAATTATTAAATCTAACATTTAATAATGTTAGAGGGGCACATGGTAGTAGAGCTGTTCATGGTACTAGATTAAAACTTTGTAGAAGGCCGGGCGAGGTGGCTCTCGTCTGTAATCCCAGCACTTTGGGAGGCCGGGGCGGGCGGATCACCTGAGTTCGGGAGTTCGAGACCAGACTGACCAACATGGAGAAACCCTGTCTCTTAAAAAATAAAATTAAATTTTAAAAAAAAAAAGAAAAAACTTTATAGTTTAGAAATTTTAAGCTTTCATAACAAAAAGTTGGAGGAAAATACATAGCAGTTAGGGGCTTTGTGCAGCTTAAGAGATTATCAGGACTTGGCTTTGTAGCGGGAAAATCTTTAAAAACCTTTCGATTTCTGTTATGCTTATTAACCTAGGAGGCTTCAGGGTCTACCTTTGGTCACTTACAACCTGTAAAAAAAATCATCTAGATTTCCAAGTTTATTGGCATAACATTGTATCTAAAAGCGGTTCTAAACCTGACTGGAAATGTTATTTGAAGTGCTTGTTCAACATGCAAATTGTTTCATTTTTTTAGAAATGGAGTTACAATGTTGCCCAGGCTGGTCTCAAACTACTGGGCTCAAGTGATCCTCCCACCTTGGCCTCCCAAAGTGTTGGTACTACAGGCATGAGCCATGGCAACCAGGTGCAGAAGCCCAGTAGGCAACTGGACCAAAGCCTCCAGTTCCGAAGCTGTCTGGCTGGAAATTGACTTAGGAATCATCAGCAGTTTTAACTAAGAGGAAGCTCTGAATTTGGATGAGAACACCCAAGCGGACTGTGAAAGGCACATGCAGAAGAAGGGCCTGTGGGGTCTGGGAAGGAGCCATTAGGGAAGCAGGACCAGGAGAAGGCCATCAAGACCAAAGGCCTATGGGTACTGTGTCCCTGTGTCACACGTGGGGAAACTGCTAACTTGGGCACTAGGGGTGTTCCTAAAGAAGGAAAAGCTAAGTGAAAGTGCATCTTGTAAACCTTTCTTTAGAACTTTCTGGGCATAATGGAAAAGCTAGTCACTAGGTTCTGGTTCTGGCTCTGCAACTGACTGGATGTTAACACCTAGGGCAAATCACCTCACCCTCAGGAACTTTTCCTCACCTGTATGGACAAGGACTGAGGCAAGCCCTCCCTGCCACCACTCCCCTCACTCTCCCTTCTTTGCAGCAGCTCTGCCTTCGTTCCTATGTTCCGTTCATCCTGACATATGAGAATAGGCCAAAAAAAAAAAAGTACCTGCCAGGCGTGGTGGCTCATGCCTGTAATCCCAGCACTTTGGGAGGCCAAAGTGGGCGGATCATCTGAGGTCAGGAGTTCGAGACCAGCCTGACCAACATGGAGAAACTCTATCTCTACAAAACAAACAAACAAAAAAAACCTACCAGGCTAAATGGATCTTGAAAGCCCAGCTAAAAATCTGTGTGCCTTTTCAGTCTCTATTCTCTTTTCTACCCATGTCTCACAACCTTAATGACCATTTCCAGGCTGGCACTAGTGAGAATTTTTATTTTTACTCCAGAGAGCTATTTCAACATCTCCAGCTGCCACCATCTCTATTTACCTGTCTTAACATCAGTTCAAACTCAAGTATGTGAAACTAAATGTATTGCCTTCAAAGAAGCCTCTCCACCTAGCACTTAAAGGGACCACAATTTATGCCCAGTTTTCTACTTCTCCCTGCTTTCCAACCCTCCAAGAAGATCTAAGTCACTTCTGTGACTTTCAACTCTTTCATCCCCCGCCTCCGGTAAGGGACAGGCCTCTTACTCTCATGAAATGTCCTCAATTCCTCCTTTCAGTTCCCACCATCACCATCCACAGGTAAGCCTTCCTCACCTGGAGGAGACTACTACAGACACCTGCTGACTGGTCTCTCCTTTCCATCAGCATTCCTCCAGCATCCACTTCATAGTATGAGGTGAGCCTGGGGGAACATCAGCCCAGTTTTGGGGGTTGAGGTGGATATGTGTTCCAGGAAAACTCTCCGTGTTTTTATTCTGCTGTTACATCACCGCCACAACAATCATCAATACAAGAATCCTGTGACCAAATGGTGAGGGGGGTTCCTTTCTGTCATCAAGCCGTGGACACCAGCTGGGTATCCTCCAATTCAGTTCCAACACTATCTACCTGAGGAAGACACATCAGGCACCAGTCATGTGTCTTGGACTCCAGGACTTCTGACCAACCACTTTCAAGTTGGGATTGCCACAACCCCCTCTTTGGGTTTGAATAATCTGCTGGAGCAGCTCACAGAACTCTGGAAAACATACTTCCTGGTTTATCATAATGGATGTTGCAAAGGCTACAGATGAAGAGATGTATGGGGCAATGTATGGGAGGAGGGGCACGAAGCTTCCATGCCTTCCTGGGCACACCACCCTCCAGAACCTCCATGTGGTCAGCTATCCAGAAGCTCTCCAAACCCAGTCCCTCTTGGGCTTTTATGGGAACTTTATGATATCAGCATTCCTTCCTCCAAGGGATAGGGCAGGAGCTCTCAGGAGAGTTTTAAGACCCACAATCACCAAGATTTGAGTCCTGCCTTGGGGCAGGTGAAAGGAGAGCAGGAAAAGGCCAGAGAGATTCTGTTTCCTGAGGCCTGCCCCCAAGGCCTAACACACCTGGCATTATAACAAAAAACAAGGCTATGGGAGTCAGGGACTGTGCTTGAAAAGGTTTCTTTCTCCACTTGTTGATTGATGGGCATTTGGGTTGGTTCCACAATTTTGGAACTGCAAATTGTGCTGCTATAATCATGCATGTGTAAGTATCTTTTTCATCATTGAAAAGATGCAAAGTATTTTTCGTCTTTTCCTCTGGGTAGATACCCAGTAGTGGGATTGCTGGATCAAATGGTAGTTCTACTTTTAGTTCTTTAAGGAATCTCCACACTGCTTTCCATAGTGGTTGTACTAGTTTACCTTCCCACCAGCAGCATACAAGCATTCCCTCTTTACAGCACTCATGCCATTATCTATTATTTTTTTATTATGGCCATTCTTGCAGGAGTAAGATGGTATCACATTGTGGTTTTTATTTGCATCTCCCTAATCATTAGTGATGCTGAATATTTTTTCATGTTTGTTGGCCGTTTGTATATCTTCTGAGAACTGTTTATTCATAACCTTAGTGCACTTTTTGATGTGTAGATTCTGTGGTCAGTGGGCCAGTGAAGAGCGGAGGAACTACACAAGTGCCTAGAACAAGCTACGTGCTTAGCCTGGACGCTAAGCATTTAGTGTCCAAATAATTAGCTAATGGAGCAAAGGTGATTTAGAAACTGATGTTTCAATATTTTACTAGCTGTACTGTATTTTGAGTTGGCAGGAATCATCTTCATTCCATTCCATCAAGAAGGTTTCACTCAATTAGAAGAATAAACAGTGAGCAAATTCTTAAATCTGTGTTTTTAGTTTTTGATGTTGCTCAGTGGGTAAAACAATGTAGCAATTAAAATACATTTCCATGAAATGTATTTTCACTTAGTAGTCATAAATAATCCTTTAACTGTGTAGTTCACGGTAGTAGGCAATTGACTACATGTAAAATTTAGTGTCTTTTGCTTAAAACTAGTTTAAACTTCTTTACACCTCCACATCTAGATGAAAAGAAATAATCCTGAAATGTGAGCACTTAAATTCTACTAAAAGAATAGCCTTCGATTCTCTAATTTTGTGGCCGTAAGAGATTTACAAATGGGGAAAAGAAGGAAAGAGAGACATTGTCTTTAAGAACAAAGTTTTGAGCAAACTGTATTAATTTATTTACAACTGTAATTTATAAACAGTAACACAAACATCTTTACATTAATATTATGAAAAATGTCCCATGGCTGAAATGGGTGAAAAATGAGAATTCAGTACATTTCTAAAGGGGTGCCAAGAAAAGGGAAAAAATGCAATACAACAGTTTTATGGGAGAGTTATATCGAGTAATGCACCCAGATACAATTTCATGCAGATGTCTTCAACCACTCAAACTGTTTTTATTAGATATTAGAATAAAATTTCCTGAATTACATTGTCTTCTATTCACTTGATTTCTATAAGTAAATCAAAATGACTGGCTGTTAAAAGGGTACATCTAAATATTTCTCCTATCAACCCCTTAGAGATAATCCATGACATTTTAGGACATGGCAGATTGTGGGTATTTCCTACTTTCCAAATAGACTTACAAAATATCATTCCACAGCCCCAAATGTGTTCCTGGATTTCTCTTACAAATGTGTCTAATATGGACCATTATAAATTAAATGGAGAACGCTGCAACATACAGCAGAGCCATCTTCAGTACATTAACACGATAAAAATAACTTCAAACCACTGGAACTTCAATGAGAGGACAAAACCAAAAGAAGAGAAAGAAATTTAGAAAATGATGACAAAAACAATGGTACTTTATAAGCTCTCTGATCTTTGATTATTTGGCATTTATGCAGGTGGATATTAGTGTGGTCACAGACCATAATCCTCAATGAGGATAAATCAGTGTGCCTTAACACTTGTTATAAAGTATAAATCCAATAATCCACTTGTAATAAAAACCAATGACATCTTTACAGACACAATTCTGTCCCCAAAATGTTAATTTTAATCTTAACATGCCTACCTATTTTAATGCTTTTATCTGCTCTTCAGAAATCATTAGGACGAAGTTTCGTATGTTTGAAGCATTTAGTGTCCAAATAATTAGCTAATGGAGCAAAGGTGATTTAGAAACTGATGTTTCAACATTCTACTAGCTGTACTGTATTTTGAGTTGGCAAGAATCATCTTCATTCCATTCCATTAAAAAGATTTCACTCTTTTTCAGAAGAATAAACAGTGAGCAAATTATTAATCTATGTTTTTAGTTTTTGATATTGCTCAGTGGGTAAAACAATGTAGCAATTAAGGAAGTCTCTTCAACTAATTCTATCTCTAATTTTCAGTGAAGACACTGCAAACATGTATGTGTACAGTTGTTTTTGAATCCAAAAATGATGCATGTTTCCTTAAAACAGCTCTTCAAAACAGAACTGCATTCTGCACCCTTACTTAGTCCATAGGGCACAGGGTCAGTAATTTAATAACTGACTTTATAATACATCATTTTATAAAACTGAAAATGCAAAAGAAAAATTTTTAAAAACTTTACTGTCCATAGATTGATTATAATAATTTACACTTTCTTAGACCTGCAAGCAGCCCATGAGCAAATGAAAGGTCTCCAGTTAGTATTCAGTCAGGAAGTATATCTCCATGTTTCTCTTGGTTGTCTTATTTTTAAATAATTTTGTTTCATATTAACTTTCCAAAGCATCCAAAACTTTCATGATCTGCTGTTTTATGGCTTTAGTAGCATCTCCTGCATTTGGAATCAAATACCTAAGGGGAGGGGGGGAAAAAAACATGTATATATATATATGTGTATATGTATATATTAATACAGTGCTTTCCCTTCAAGACTCAGCTGATATATCACCTCCAATGGGATGCTTTCCCTAATCCACAAAGCCAGCAGAAATGCCTCCTATGTACTCCCATAGCTTATTTCAAAAGAGGGAAAGTCTAAATGTCAAGGCAATGTGATTTTTCATATAGTGTAAAGCTAAAATTATTCGAACCATTATTAAATATACATAATAACTAGATGATAAGACAGAAGGTACAAAATGTAATATTCCATTCCCCAATACAGATGGAACCTTTAATTAGCTACAAAATCACAAACGATTTGTTGGTATTTAATTCCAAAGACAATGACAATTCCAACACTTAATAGTTTAACCTTAAGCAAGTAATTTAAGTTCACTAAAACATATTCCTATATAAAAAATAAGTATAGTTATCAAAACTTTACAGAGGGTTATGCACATAATAAAATGATGTTACAGGATCTGAAATATTTTTAAAAGACAAAACGTGGTAATTATTACAAAATATCGACACCATAGATTAAGGCCGGGCGCGGTGGCTCATGCCTGTAATCCCAGCACCTTGGAAGGCCGAAGTGGGTGGATCACTTGAGATCAGGAGTTCGAGACCAGCCTGGCCAACATGGTGAAACCCCGTCTCTACTAAAAATACAAAAATTAGCTGGGCGTGGTAGTGGGCACCTGCAATCCTAGCTACTCAGGAGGCTGAGGCAGGAGAATCTCTCGAATCTGAGACATGGAGGTTGTAGTGAGCTGAGATTATACCACTGCACTCCAGCCCGAGCAATAGCACGAGACTATGTCTCAAAAAAAAAAAAAATAATTTTAATATAAAAAAAAAAATCAAAATAAATTAAATTTCCATTTTCTTTTCCTGGAGAATAAAAATAATGTTTTTTTTTTTTTTTTTAAAGCATTTTCTGCAAAACCTAACAATTCCACTGTATAAATAATCTACAAGTGTTACATATGCAAGGCAGTATAGAGAACCATACATATCATTGAAGAAAGGGAGGAGAATCTAGTTACTTCATCTTCCACTATTAACTCTATCTTCCAAAACTCTGAATTAAAAAAAAAAAGTTGATCTATAAATAATAAGCTTCAATTTCTTTAGCAAAATTTATGGGAAAACCTTTAAAACATAACTCTCAACTATTACTATACATGAAAGACTCATAATTCAAATGTTCTTTGGTTAGGATTAATTTATAAGTAGACATTAAATTTTGTATACCTCTGACCCATTGAATCTACATGCAGGAATTTATCCTGAGAAGACTAATCGGACAACTATGTAAATATACATTTTTTTAAAAGGCCCACTAAAAGATTAATAGCGAAAACACATGAAACAATCTAAATGCCAATCATCGTGAGGCTTGTTAAATCAATCTCCTGAGAAATCCTTATAACCAGAATATCTACTATTAAAAAGTTAATAATTTACATTTATTAAAATGTAAATATATTCAAACTATACTAAGTTTTCTAAAAAAATTAGAACACAAAAGCAAGCCTGTATCACATTTATCTAGTTTTTAATACAGGAATTACATATATATTTTAAAAATCTGAGAAGATATTCACCAATGTGTTAACAGACTGGAATTAGAATGGCATATTCTTTATATTTTGATTATTTGAATACATTCACTATGTAAATATTTATTCTTACATAAAGCAATAAAGTGATCATTTACAAAGTAGGTATTATTTTCTTATAATGAAGTACATAAAACAGTACAGATTCATGTTTGCTACTGAATTGTCAGTACAAGATGAAGAAGTTGAATAATTTCCCCTTCCAATTGAAGTTGATTTTTTTTTTTTTTTTTTTTTTTGAGACGGAGTTTCGCTCTTGTTACCCAGGCTGGAGTGCAATGGCGCGATCTCGGCTCACCGCAACCTCCGCCTCCTGGGTTCAGGCAATTCTCCTGCCTCAGCCTCCTGAGTAGCTGGGATTACAGGCACGCGCCACCATGCCCAGCTAATTTTTTGTAGTTTTAGTAGAGACGGGGTTTCACCGTGTTGACCAGGATGGTCTCGATCTCTTGACCTCGTGATCCACCCGCCTCGGCCTCCCAAAGTGCTGGGATTACAGGCTTGAGCCACCGCGCCCGGCTGAAGTTGATTATTTAAAAGTGCTCCGATATTACCTTAATCTTACTATTTATTCAAGCACTCCTGTAAATAAGAAGTGTAATCCTAAATCTCAGGAGGAGAACAACTTCAGCTGAGGCAAGGTGAAATAAAACACAAATCATGAGTCAGGAAGGCTATACTTGGTTCTGTCACAAACTAAGTGTCAGGATCTGGAAAGTCATCCAACCCCTCTGGGCTTCATATTTTTATCTACAGATTAAAAAATGGTTTAGTGTCAATATCTGTGTGGCCCACAGCCCTTGGGCCAGTCTGTGAACTGTTAATGACCCAAAATGAGATAAAGGGCGGCTTGTACCAGGCTGTAAATTGTCTATATCACCCAGCACACTGCTTAGTTCACTGACAGTTTGTCAAAATAATAATTTTCCTATGGAGGAAAATAAAAATGTTGACATATTCTAAGACAAGTTTCTTATTTCACTGCAAGCCAGCAATTAGTGCAGCACCAGTGTAGATTAATCATAAGGATCCTTGGGCCAGAAACTTTATGAAATTAGCCATGGCACTTACTCAAATCATGTAGTAATGGCTAAGCCACATATGACTGAAGATTGGGGAGAAAGAGATAATAAACACTAAAAGTGGTTCAGCTATCTTGTTCCACCATCCATTCCCCAAAACAGAGAAACAAACTATGCTTTATAGTGAACTGCAATAATTCAGATAAATATCATCCTAAGAAAAATCTTACCTTTCGATTGCCAAGATTTCTATTCCTGAAGCACTGCTATTTCCATACTTGAAGGTAATGAGTTCAGGATGTTTTTTTTTGGATGTGATTTTAACTACAGAATTCAGTGCTTGCCGAGACTGTATATAAGCCAATCCTTTCCGTGAAACAATCTCCCTTAAACAGTACATATGTGTTGCAGTAACCAATAGATGACTTGAGAGAAAAAAGAGCATTCAAAGAAAAAAAAAAATTAAAAACTGGTGTTATTTCAATCACCCCAATTATTAAAAATGTTCAACTCTATATAAAATTATTTGAGATAAAAGACATAAAGAGGTTAATCTATAAACAAGTAAGCTACATAATAAAGGCTTTTAATTGTATGTAAAATTAATATTTTATTAACAGATAATCCTGAAATAATTTAAAAGTTATATAATAAAAAGTTCCATACAACATAGAAATCATTACAGTAATACATTTTTTATTGAAATGGAATATATTACTTTTCAGATTTTTAACAGTATTATCAATAATCATAAACCATTCTCATTCAAGGCACCATAGCCTATATCTAATATCCAAGATCACTAGGCAATTGTTGGGCTTCCCTATATATTCTGTAATATTCTGTAACTGGATCCTGAAGGCAAAATGAGCACAGTATTATTAACACCCCCCAACCTCTGTAACTCAGCTTCTTTTTAATATAATAATAGTCTCACATTTTTTATGTATAGTAATACAATATAATTATCAGACAAGTCCAGAAAGTGGAACAGTCTGCAGGACGATTGACCTGGACTCAAAGGATTCATTCATCATGAAGAGAAAAGGGAAGCAAGGGGGTGGGGGAATCAGTTCTGATGTACACAGGGTGAGACTAAAGACATGTAACAGATAATGCAATGTGTGAACCGTGAACTGGATCACGGATCAGAAAGAAAAGCACACTACAAAAGATACTTTGGGGACACTGAAAATTTGGGGCACAATCTGCATGTTAAATGATGTTAATTTACAAAAAGTTTTAGGTGGGTTAATGGCATTGGAGTTGTGCAGGAGGATGCTCACACACTCGGGAGGTTTATGCCGAATCATTTAGGGGTGAAGTGTCACATTTGCAGGCTTCTTTTGAAAGGTTTGACAAAAGTATACATATCCATGTATCTGTATGTATATATGTTCATATATACATATGAAATGGGGTGGTATTAAAAGGTGTTCACAGTTGATAAATCTAAGAATATAAGGGTGTTCAATGTACTATTCTTTCAACATTTCTGTCTAAGATTTTTCAAAATAAAAAGATAAGAAATGCTGTTAAAATTCAAGACCTATAATACAAGTAGCCAGAAGAAAATTATATCTTATTGTACTAGGATAAAGGTTCTTCTGTAGTTCAGTTTTATATTATTAACAAAGACATTTTAAAAAGTACCTGGGAAACATGTGTCCACTTTCTTTTACTTCTTTACAAGGAAAATGATGTTTGACATCTGGCTTGTTTATCCAAGTCTGAATGTTTACAACCTCTTTTCTATCATCATCTGACATTGAGGAACTGTCAATTTCATCTACAAAAAATATAAAGTGTTAAACATGGATATTACCAACTTTTAAAATGATACATTCCTTAACAGTCTAAAAAAATTTCGGTAGTATTTTGAACACATGGATTGAAAAACAAGCAGGTGGGGCACAGTGGCTCACACCTGTAATCACACTTTGGGAGGCCGAGGCGGCTGAATCACCTGAGGGCAAGAGTTGAAGACCAGCCTGGGCAACATGGTGAAACCCCATCTCTACTAAAAAATACAAAAAAATTGCCAGGTGTGGTGGTGCACACCTGTAATCTCAGCCACTCGGGAGGCTGAGGCATGAGAATTGCTTGAACCCAGGAGGTGGAGGTTGCAGTAAGCCAAGATTGCCCTACTGCACTGCAGTCTGGGCAACAGAGTGTGACCCCACCTCCAAAAAGAAAAAAGAAAAAAAGAAAAACACAAAAAATTCTAATCCTGGTACTCTATTTCCTTATACCACTGATATTAATACAGAAATATTATTATGAAACATCACTTTCATAAGGTAAGAAAGTCAGGTGTAAATATTAAGAATACACTTTTAAAGATTAAACTATTTGGGGAATTTCAACTACTTTGATATGTATAACCTAACTATCATCTGACTAGTCTGTAAAGAAATGGCTGAACTGCTAAACAATAGGCACCTAGTTTGAGGGTAAAGATGGAAGATTTCTTTTTATCTTGCTGCCTTCTGATTTTAAGGAGAGTAACAATAAAATCAATTCTGGGATAAATAAGTAAAAATCTGGGGCTTTTTTCCATAAGAGAAATAGAAAATAATTATTTTTTTCCAATTTAAGAAAGGGAAAATACAGTCTCTAGGGTTAATAATTACAAATGTTCTGTTCTTTGCTTTTTAACAAATACTGCAAAATATAGAGACATAATGAAAAACAAAATTGCACATATTGACACTCCAGCTTGAACAAAAGTGAGCCCCTCATGTATCTCTCCTTACTCACATTCTCCTCCCTTCTCCACCAAGAACTACTAATTATCTGAACTTGGTGTTATCAGGCCCATACAGGTCTTTAACCATATATGCATATCCCTAAATAATATACGGTAGTATTCTACACTTAAAACAAAATGTATATAAAAAGTAGACTACTCAACTGCATTCTTCTGCAACTGCTACCTTACTCCCAACACCTGAAATTCATACATACTGATACACATAGTTCCAGTTTTCTCACTTTCAATATGGTCTGATTTTCCATATTGTAAATATGTGTGTGTAGATACATGATAAAAGTAAATATACCACAATTTATTCATCCATTTGCCTCTCCCCTTTGTTAATGGGAGAAGTTGAGATATGCAGGGAGAGATCGAGAAGATGGCAACAGAGAGGGGAAAAAGAAGAAAAGGAAACAATTAGCAATATCACATTTACCTCTGTGCAAGTTTTCTGGGAAGTGATTTCCTATATTTATTAAAATGTCAAATGTGACTCCCTATAACCTAGCAATCTTACTAAGAATTTAAACTCTGAATATACTTTCATCAAAAGTTAACCTAGATATATATATTTATAAAAATCCCAGAAAACCACCAATGTCAACTGGAAGACTGGCTAAATAAAGTATGGAATGTTTATATGATAGAAGGAGAATGAGATATATGATCTCAAACAGAAAATATGCAACATGTGTTACTAACTGGAAAAAGCAAGGTGAGACTTGGGAGTCTTTTTTTCTCATTCTGTAACGTTTATATATTTTTTTCTCCCAAACTCAATACACATATTAACTAATATTAGTTATGATTGCTTAACTAGGATAACTTGGGCAGTAGAATTCTAAACCAGACTTCATTATTTAAGCCATAACCACAGAGATGATTTCCCTGACATAATATCCCCATCTTGTGGCCCTTTAGGATATTGCCTCCAGTTTCCAAAGACTTCAGATGTCTCAATTTTGTAATTTTCAGTGCTTTAGTCCCAAAACTCTCAATCTCCTAGTGGGGTGATCAAAGGAATTTCAATCCCATCACTTGGATTTAAATACTATTTCTACACTGATAGCCCCCAAATTATCATCAGTTTAGACTTCTCTCCTCAGCCGAAGACTCCTATAATCAATTGCCTCTACTCAGCATTTCTGCTTGAATTTCTAATAGGCACAATTTAAAGTGTCTAATACCAAACTCTTAATAGAAAGCCACAGATTCTCCAATTATATCTACAGAATCTCATTTTTTTAAAAAAGCAGTTGTTTGGCTAGTCCCAGAATGACTGCCGTAAACACCCCGATGACGGAGCAAAGGCATTTGTAGATAAGTGTATTACTACACCTGTGTCGTATTCTTCTTCATCCCCAATGCTGAAAACAGGCTTTACACCACGATAAGGCTTGCCCACTCTGTCACTGCTGCTCACATGCCTATATTCAAAGAATTTTAGGGGATAAATCATCATTCAGGAAGTTATCAAAGATTTTCACCAAGCATCATTTGAATATTCAAACAAAATGTTAATGTTCCTTACCCGCCCCGCCAACCCCACGTACTACCCATAGTTTTAGGGTGGCTATGTTAAGTAAATTGAAAGAAGATAAAGAAATTGTTAGCAAAAGTGGCATAAGGATTTGGTATGCTGACTGCTCTCAAAAATGTAAAAATTAAATTTTAAACAATTTCAACATTCATATTAAAACCAACGCTTAGATCTGTTTGGCCTTGCGGAAGTTACCTGTCCTCTGGTGCTTCTGATTCCTCCTCTGTAAAATAGTGCTAACAATATCTACTGTCAGGGTTACTGCGAGAATTAAATCGGTTAATTTTATTGTAACACTATTAGGACAATGCCTTCATGTCTGTTAGAGAAAGTTATGGCACCAAATATTCAAATTCCAATATGAGAGGTTAAGGCTTCTCATTTAAGTGCAACTGCCTTAAGGGTTATCTTCCCATTTTCTATTAGGTTACTTTTGTTTCAACTGAAATTAAGATTTTACTTCTGTTATGTAAATATAAGACATAAAAATGAATCTACTTCTTTTTCAAGAGGCAGAAGCATAAATAACATGTAAACCTACACTTGATTAGGTCTATAGAAATTGTGACCTTATTTAATTAAAAAAAATTTTTAGTATAAAAATTAATACCCTATTAATTTTCAGGTAATCCCAAATAAACTAAGTGGTACAGTTAAAATGTGTCAACAAAATACTACATGTTTCTGAGGGGAAAAGCATTGTTTTACCTGCTAAAATTATCTACTACAAAGAAAGACTCTAGCTTTTTTGGATGTGCATGTAACACATGAAAACACTCAGAATCCTCTATTTTCAAGAGACATTCCAATGTGAAAAACAATCAAGTTACATGTCTTTAGTTAGTTCTACTATTTATTTACTTATTCATTTATTTTTGAGATGGAGTCTCGCTCTGTTGCCCAGGCTGGAGTGCAGTGGCTTGGTCTCAGCCCACTGCAGCCTCTGCTTCCCGGGTTCAAGCGATTCTCCTGCCTCAGCCTCCTCAGTAGCTGAGATTACAGGTGCCTGCCACCATACCTGGCTAGTTTTTGTGTTTTTAGTAGAGACAGGGTTTCACCAGGTTGGCCAGGCTGGCCTCGAACTCCTAACCTCATAATCTGTGCACCGCGGCCTCCCAAAGTGCTGGGATTACAGGTGTGAGCCGCCACACCCGGCCTATTATTACTGCTATTATTATTATTATTATTATTTTTGTTATTTCAGAGCCAGGGTCTCGCTCTGTCACCCTGGCTGGAGTACAGTGGTGCAATCATGGCTCACTGCAGCCTCGAATTCTTGGGCTCAAGCAATCCTCCTGCCTCCGCCTCCCATGTAGCTGGGACCTCAGGGGTGCGGGACCACAGGGGTGCACAACCATGCCTGTTCTAATTATTTTATTTTTTTCAGAGACAGAGTCTTGCTATGCTGTTCAGACTGGCTTTGAACTTTTGGCCTCGTGATCTCCCACCTCAGCCTCCCAGTGCTGGGATTACAGGTGTGAACTACCACGCTTGGCCTTTACTTGGGTTTAGAATTCAGTTTTCCCAGAAGACAGAGATCAAACCTATATTTTAAATAACTTTAAATACAAACCATCACTAAAAATCTTTTCGGTAGCATAATTTTGTTCATTTACTTCTTCCAAAATAACATTCCTCAATAAAATCTAATGAGAGTTTAGTGTATAGCAAGTATTCTTTGGAAATTACAAGTTAGGTTAATCAATACATAGGCTTAAAGTCTGATTAAATTAAAAGTGACATAATCATTTGGTTTTACGTTAAAATATATCTAATATAAAATTATCCTATAAATGATCAAACTATGCTCATTAGACAGTTGGGGGACAGGGGAGAGACAGTAGGGGGTGGGGAGGAAGGGAAGGGTGGGGAGGGATAACATGGAGAGAAATGCCAGATATAGTACGCACCTAAAGTAAAATAAACACATTTTTAAAAAGAGAAAATGACATAATTTGAACGCCTTTTAAATTGAGATTTAGCTTTCTTACAAAAGGCAAAGACGGAGGTAAGAGCTTTATCTAAAAATGCTTTGATGTTACCTACATTGTAAAATTTTATATAAGATTAGATCACAAGTTCTCTCCTAATATTAAACAACAATTAAGTTGCCATAACATAGAAAGTAACAAAGATAATGTTTACAGCAAATGCTTGAACTAGAAAGTATGAGCAGAGACAATCCTAAAAAAAACAATTAATTATTGATCAAGATTTATAATAAAATGCAAAGTTTTTATGAACATGAATACTAAGGACTATTGAGACATTTCTTGAAAAACTGGCTAAAATGAGTAAAATGCAACAGCTGGACTATTTTTTAAAGTATTATATCTATACTTTTTTGCCATGGCAATAATAGAAACATCTATATTATGGGTTGAGTAGGCTTTGACATAATTTACTGAGCTTAGAAAGAGACCTAATTCATTTTAACTTCTCATTAAATTCTCTTTTTAAGACAAAAGTATCTACCTGTAGATCAGAAAAGATTATTTAAGTTACAAAAATAATTTGGGAATTGGGAGTTAAAAAAATTAGACTACTTCAATAGTCCTATAACAGAAGAAAACAGAAAGGATGATTCACAAATAGATTATAATTTTAAAAGAAGCAATTTCCTTTAAAGTAACCCTAGGTAAAATTATTAGTATTAGTCCTGTAATTGGCATTGTATAGAAATAGTCACAATAAATCAAAATTCTTAGAAGATAAGTTATTAGAGAGTGAAGTATTATTTTTAAAAATGCTACTTCTAGTTACTGCGAATACTAAAGTGACCTGTAAAAATTCCATTCCATTATTCCAAAGCTTAACTTACACTTAAAATATGACTAGAATTTCTTTTTTTTTTTTTTTCTGGCCCACTTAGAATTTATAGAATTTCTTTTTAAACGTTCATAGACACCTATGCTGTAATTGATAATCTAAATTAAACTGTCAAAAAATTCTGTGAGTATAAGAACTACAAAGTCATATAGAGTTAATAAAGTTCTTTTGTTACCCTAATTGAAGTTCCAGTAAATTTTTAAACATCCAACTTACAAAATCTTTGTCTTTTAATAAGAAGCACCTCATTTTATTTGGGCTAGAGAAGTGACAGATTATACATTAAAATAATCCACCACTTGAAAAAAAAAAACAAAAAAAAAAACCTAATTTTTTCTTCAACAAAAACCAAAGGCAGAACTGTAGTTCTTTAGAAGAGATTTATATATGCTAACTCAACCTAAATACATAAATCTTATTAAGAAAAATCTAAATATATAAAATTACACAATGTACATGAATTAACAAAAAATTTGAACCATGAACAGTACCTATTTTTAGGTGCTATAACTTTCTCTGCTGCTAGGGCACATGATCTCCAAAGCAAATAACCTGCCAACTCATGACCACATACATACTTTCTTTGCTTCAACTTCCTCTGTCTCAGAATAAAAACTGCAAGGTTTGAATAAACTTGATTTTCATGTGTGGAATAATATAAACAAGCATGCAGGAAAAAGAATTAAAATGATCAAGCAAAAAAAAAGAAAAGTGTATCAATCAACATGACATACTCCTAAAAGCAGAATGAGAAAAGTTTAGCATTTGAAAGAGCTGCATGAAATCTGAGCCAAGACAGCACAAGGCTTACAGATGGCATGAGGCATATTAAAGGAAAAGGATGATTCAAGAAAAATGCTCTACTCATTGGCTTACCGCTCTGTACATGATCTGTCTGGCCAAGGAAGATTGAAAGACATTCTATAGCAAATCAAGGCAGAGGACAGAACAAAATGATTATAAAAAAAAATGCAACAGCTTTAAAACAAAAAATATGGCACAATTTAATCAGTTTTTCTCACCCAGAGTGTACATTATAAAGATGTTTCCATCATCCCAAGTACAAAGAAAAACAAGAAAAGCCAATTTCAAGTAATAAAGACAGAGACTTTCTGACTTAACAGTTATCACCAGTTCATTTTAAAATAAAATAAATGCATTTTAAAATAAAATTGTAAATGTTCATGCTACAAAATGTAGCAATAATAGTTCTCCAACTCAGAAGTACCAACGAAAGGTAAAAGGGTTAGCTTTTGAGAATAGACATAACTTCATTGCATAAACAAGTTTTTCAGGCTCGATGAAACACCTTAATAATTATTAGCTGACCATTTTAGATAAGGTACAATTTTTTGGATCAATGAAAATAACCTATTATCTTCTTGGCTATTTACTAAATGTGAAAAAATGTACTTTTGTATGCATATATACTATACTTAATAAAGGCACAGACAACAAATCCCTGACATTCAGTTCTTAAAGTAAAATATGTCAGTTTCCCAGGATACTGCAACACGCGAAAGTGAAACCAAACACTATAACACATTTCCAATATAAGGCTTCCTTAAAAACAAACTCTGTGTTGCAATTATAAAATTAGCTTTGAACTCTAAGAACAAGAAAGTTGAAATAGACTTAAATGTCAAGAAAAAAATATACACTCTGTGACAATAATATATATATAACAGGTATTTTAAAATTTGTTTATCAATTATTAACCATGTCTCTTGTTTGTAATTTACAGGGAAATGGGGCTTTGTAAACAAAATTCTATTAAGTCTGAGCTTAAACATGAGAAGGTGGGTTTCTGCTATATTTAGCATGACCAGATTTTCTAGGTTTTATATTACTGGAGCAGAGGAAGAGGTTCCTACTATGAAATTACCGAATTCAGCAGATGATTCTCCATTCATTTAATATTTGGGAAGCAGCTACTATATGAAATGTAATACACATTGGGACATAAATTTTTTGTAGTGAATGATATGACATGACAGATACAATACTTGCATCTTTGAGTAGTAAGAGAGAAGAACTATGGATATAAAGTACATTCCTGCAATTCCAATGAAAACTATGAAATCACTTAATAGAAAATGTAATTTATGATCCTCTTCTGGAACACATTCAATTCAACTAACATTTACTTACTGTAAGACATGTTTCTTTAGTTTTAATTATTCATCATAAACTCATACTGTATAAACAACTTACCGATCCACAGGAGTTGATGTATTCTCTATAAAACTGATAACTTTTTCCCTGACATTAACAGATTTTGTCTTCAAAGCCACAGTCATTTTATTTACTAGTGATTTCATTCCTCTATCATTTGAGCCATTAGAAGATTCACCCTAAAAAAAAAATAATTTAGATGGTTTAACTGCTCTCTAAATGACTAGAAGACATACTACTGCTAATGGTTAACTACATGTTATGGACTGAATTGCAATCCCACTAAATTCATGTAAGTTCTAACAGAATACGACTGTATTTGGAGATATAGGCATAATTAAGGTTAAATTAGGTTTTTATAGGTGGTGCCTAATCCAGTCTGACTGGTGTCCTTAGAGAAAGACATGAGCACATGAAAACAGAGAAAAAGCTATTTGAGGACACAGAGCGGAAGGCAGAGATCTGTAAACCAAGGAGAGAGGCCTCAGGATAAATCAAACCTGCCTCAGGATAAATCAAATCTTGGACTTTCAGCCTCCAGAACAGTAAGAAAATAAATTTACATTAGTTAAGCCACCATTTTGTGGTATAATATTTTGTTGTGGCAGCTGTAAACTAATTAGGTGAAATCATTTTAAGAAAAGAGGGTAGAATAAAAAATTAGGATATACTTATGAATATATGTGTGTGGAGTCTTAAATTAACTTCTTTATTAAATAAGAAAGTTAAAACTACTGACCTTTCTTATCTTAGACTAGCCTACAAAAATAAGGAAAAGTATAATCAAACTATTTGCACATACATGTGTGTGAAGTCTGCAATTACCTTCTTTATTCAATAAGAAATAGTCAAAACTATTAACTTTTCTTATCTCAGTAGCCTACAAAAATATGCGAAAGTATAATCAAACTACTATCCATGTAGCTAAATTTTTAAAGACATTTCCAATTAGGCCTTTATTTTCTGAAGAAAAGTTATCCTGATGTACCACATGTAATAGATGAGAGTATAATTCTTTTTTGTTTGTTTTTTTGAGATGGGAGTCTTGCTCTGTCACCCAGCAACCTCTGCCTCCTGGGTTCAAGCAATTCTCCTGCCTCAGCCTCCTGAGTAGCTGGGATTATAGGCACCTGCCACCATGCCTGGCTGAGAGTATTAATTCTCAAATTGTTTCAGGGGATTGCTCACATATACCTTCCTAAAAGGCAATTTAGTAATGGGTGTCAAACATTTAAAAGTGATCTTATTATTTGCCCATTATTCCTCTTTGGAATTAATGGGAAGGAAAGAAGAAAGTGCCCAGAGATTTGGGTACTATTCGATGGAAAATTATACAGCCACTAAAAACTCATACTTTTTAAACAACATTTTATAATGCTAGAAAATGCTCATATATTCAGTGAAAAAGCAGAAAATAAAACTCTAGGTATGCTATGATCACTACCTTTGGAAAAAGAAACACATTCACTAAAAAGGGTTTGATGAAAATACTTTAAAATATGAATGGGAAAATTATCTCTGGTACAGCTACAGGTGCTTTTGCTTTCTTTACACTTTGCTTATTTACAGATGATGCTACAGTGAACATGTTACTTTTATTTTTACAAAAAATGTCATTAACAACACAAAAAACTGCCGGGCGCGGTGGCTCAAGCCTGTAATCCCAGCACTTTGGGAGGCCGAGGCGGGTGGATCACGAGGTCAAGAGATCGAGACCATCCTGGTCAACACGGTGAAACCCCGTCTCTACTAAAACTACAAAACATTAGCTGGGCATGGTGGCGCGTGCCTGTAATCCCAGCTACTCAGGAGGCTGAGGCAGGAGAATTGCCTGAACCCAGGAGGCGGAGGTTGCGGTGAGCCAAGATCGCTCCATTGCACTCCAGCTTGGGTAACAAGAGCGAAACTCCATCTCAAAAAAATAAATAAATAAATAAAAACACAACACAAAAAACTATGTTTCTATTTCCATATCTAAATTCAAAGCTGAATTAAACTGAATGTAAAAATTATTTGGTACTCTGAAAAGAATGCTCTTTAAGATAATTTCTAAAATAGCCTCAATCAGTGTTTTTCAAATATGAAGATAAAAGCTTCAACAGAAAACTATCCAGTGATGTGAATGGAAATATAAATGAAAATGTTTTTTGGAGAACCATTTAATAATAATGCAGAAGTCTAAGGAGTTTGGTAAGTAACATTTTAATCAAGTTACTCCATTTCCAGGACTAAACAATCATGGCATATGCAAATATATCACTACAAAAATTAAATAGTGTTTGTAACAGAAAAAGACTGAAAATAATGTAAATATTGAACAGAAAACTGAATAAATTATCATACACTCATACAACGAAATACTAGTTATTTAAAATGAAAATAGCAAATGTTTACTAAGTAAATGGTGATTTCACACACAGAGCATCAAGTTAAAAATACGAATATCAAGTTAAAAATAAGATTCTCAGACAAACCTTATCTGCTGATATGAAAATAATCTGATTTTGATTTGTATGGCCAAAGAAAAACCTTAACTAACACAGGTAGTAAGCTACAATTTCATAATAACTAGTATTAAATATTTGGTGATAGGTACTACACTTTCCATTTACTTGCACAGCTAATCCTCAAGCTATCCTTAGGAAGAAGGTTATGCTGTTAACATTTCTATTACACAGGTAAAGAAACCACCGCTGAAAGACCCTGCTGGAGATCATGAAGAAAGTAAGTTGTACATGAAATCTGAACCCAGGTATGTCAGATCTGTAAGCTCAAGCTAGTAACCATCACCCTGTACTGCAGTTTTCCTTCTATTTCTGTTTTAAAAAATAATCATTAGGTAGATGACCACCATTATTTATGAAAGTGATTTAATGACATCTAATTCAACTGACATGAAATACTTAAGTACTGAAAAAGCACGAGACCTATTATCCAAATATTTCCAAAGTAGAACAGAAAAACAGATTTATCCACTGTAGCAGAACCACAGTAATGTGTATTACTAGTAACGTAAATAAAAATGTAGTAATGTGCATTACTAAATACACATCTCAGTAACTAAAAATCAAATAAAATAGGACTGGCAAGTGGTTCTTGTCTTTCTCTGCCTGGCCGATTCTCAAATATAGATAGACTCAAGTACTAATCATGTAAGTTTGTGATGGGGATGGGTACAGACATAGTATGCACAAGATGATTGTTAGCCCTAGTATTCTGGAAAAAACTAACTGTGAGAGGCCTGGAGCCAGCTTGCTTAAGAGTCCCAGCTATTTATAGGACCCAGATTAGTCCCCATTGATATTTAAACTGGAGCATAAAACTGTCACTACCTGACACCAAACTCCAGCTGGACAGGGAGAAATTTGAATTCAGCAGCTGAACTTCAAGAGCTCCCGGCTAGTTTAGCTGTGAAGGACTGCTAATCATTGCATTAATCTCACACTAATATGACTCTTCATTGCATGTGTTTAAAATATTTTGCCTCCACGTTTGTTATGGTGGGGGCTTAGTAATTAATCACCTTTTCTGGGAATTTATCCAAATCTGGCGACATATTCTCTACATGCACTTACATCAACAGAATTGATACTGCTCCTTGAGCCTGAGGTACTAGCAATCCAATGGCCATATCCATTTTCTGGTCCATCCACATTAATGTCTGCCAGGTGCTGCTGCAGTGCTTAAGGTAAATTAAAAAAAAGAAAAACAAAACCTAAAATATCAACCCTCTTTGGAAAGATTCATTACCAAAGAAATATAATAAATATGTCACAGCTGAGAAAAAAGGACCCAAGGACATAATCACAGCTGTTTCTTTCGGCATGTCTGTAAAGGAGTAAAGGCCTTCAAACTAGAGCAAACAACCTTCCTCTTCTTCCTTCTAAAATCCTCTGTACATGGAAAACTTTTCTTAACTGACACTAAAGGTGATGATAACTGTAAAGGCTTTATGTTTCTTCTCTGGAAAGAAATCTTTCAAGCATTAACAGATAATTTCTGCAACATTTTTATGACATAAAGGATTAATTGAAAACTGATTGTGGCTTTTTTTTTTTTTTTTTTTGAGACGGAGTTTCGCTCTTGTTACCCAGGCTGGAGTGCAATGGCGCGATCTCGGCTCACCGCAACCTGCGCCTCCTGGGTTCAGGCAATTCTCCTGCCTCAGCCTCCTGAGTAGCTGGGATTACAGGCACGCACCACCATGCCCAGGTAATTTTTTGTAGTTTTAGTAGAGACGGGGTTTCACCATGTTGACCAGGATGGTCTCGATCTCTTGACCTCGTGATCCACCCGCCTCGGCCTCCCAAAGTGCTGGGATTACAGGCTTGAGCCACCGCGCCCGGCTGTGGCTTTTTTTATACCATAAAGTATAATGCTTTTCAGACACTTTTGAGAATAACAAGCTTAATATATCATGTTATATCAAGTTTTATATCATGTTACCAGGATTCCTAATAAATAACACTGAGCCTAGAGCCAAACATGTTTAACACTACTTATTGAAAGTACCCTTTTGTACATCATCCTGGGTACGAGCTTCAAAAGTTGTTATCAGGTCATGATATATAGGAGATAATCATAATCCTTGTTAACAAAGACCAAGAGGAAATATATCCTAATGTTCCAAAAATTCTATGTTATAGCCTAACTCCCATGATTAAAACCTAAGATTCCATTACCCTCCACATATACTGATTTGATTTTTGGAGCTTCAGTCGCACAATTGGTTAGCATATGATACTTATATATTGATTTGATTTGATCACTAATTTCCCCAGCATTTACAGTTTAGTTTTGTGATCTCTTTTTCTAATGTAAGACAGGCTCTTTTAAAATCTTACTACTCTGCCTGCAAAGTAAAATTCTCAATACTTGCCTGCAGAGACCATGTCCATTATTTTACTATCCTAGATTATCAAATATTAGTCTGCAGATGTGAAACTATCGGTTTATTTTACTCCATTTAGCCAACACTTTTTAAGCAGAGAATACCTTCAAGTAGTTCAAAAATAAAATGACAAAACACCTAAAGAGTCCAAAGGGTACACTATAAAAAGTATTCCTTTAACTGTTCCTTCCCAGTTCCGTCATTTAATCCTTCTTCTCCACAGAGGCAACCATATGGGCAGTTTTTCATTCATCTTTACAAAAATATTTCTTGAAATAAATCTCCTTAAACAGTCTTACATCAGTCATTCATTTCAATTGTCTATTATGTGTGTTATCTGTACGTCCTGCTGGCCTTGTCTTTTCTGAAAATACTGAATGAATGAAGAGAGTCTGCCCATTAACTAATGTGAACACTCCACATCAACTCTGTTGATAATCAATAACAATTTCTTCTGAAACATGGAGAAAAAAAAAATAAATTAAAATCTTACCCATAAATCCTCCACTGGCAATACTCACATATTCTTTGTTTTTCTGTAATAGAAAATTTAAATTATTCCAAAAATGTGACTTAATTAAAACTTTGCCTAGTTCTAAAACATTGATAAATACAGTATCAAGTTACATATTAAACTTCTGGACTTTCTTATTTCCGTGACAGTTTGGACTTTGGCACAGAGAGGCATAGCCATTTACCTTACGTATTGTAAAGTCTGGTGCTCAGGTGGGAAGAAGGGGACAGCTTCAAGGCTATTAACAAGTCTTGATTTTACCTTTATTATAGTTTCAATAGTGCAACTGTCAAACCAAAATTAGTTAAACAGTATTTTAGGTTGTAATCAAGAGTGATTTTTAAAAGCTTTCAAAATATTTTATGCCCTTTATTAAAAGATAATATAAAAGGAAACATTACAACTAATTAGGAAGAAATAAGGAATGTTACCATTTTGCAAACTACTAAAAACTAATGGATCTAAGTAATATAAATAAAAAAAGAGAAACAGAAAAAAGAGACATCTAAATACTATTTGTCATCTAAAAGAGACAGTCATCACCCTCAGGACCTCCTTCCTCTGAACAAAGCAATTCAGTCACATCTCTAGATTTAACTAATGGCTTACAGGAAATACCAAGGACAGAACATGATAGATGATACTATGTAAATATAATCAGCAAAATCCAGAATGTGAGGAACTCTATAACACAAATTAATTGGGCTTTTCTCAACAAATATATGCAAGGAAAATATTTTAAAAAGGAACCTATAAACTAAATTAACTTAAAAGACATCAACCAATGTTAACACCTTGTTTTAGATGAAAATCAGGGAAACTTGAATACTAGTTAAATTTTTAAAAATAAAGTATGATAGTGATGTGGTTATGTCTTTACGAGTTTATGGCATTCAGTTTTCCCTACTTTTCAATTTCCTTGAGACTTTCCATGATAACAATTAGGGAAAAAATTTATAAAACCACATAAATAACCTGAATAATTACAAAAAGTTCTCAATATTCCAAACTCTTGCCCTATGACAGCCCTCACAATATATAGTATAGTTTATACTGAAGCGTTTTTATTTTATTTTGTTTTTGGGGTAGGGTCTCGCTCTGTCACCTAGGCTGGAGTACAGTAGCATGACCATGGCTCACTGCAGCCTCAATCTCTCAGCTCATGCAATTCTCCTGCCTCAGCCTCCCAAGTAGCTGGTACTACAATGGAACACATCCATACCCAGTTAATATTTTTATTTTTTGTAGAGACAGGGTCTCATCATATTGCCTAAGTGGTCTTGAACTCCTGGGCTTGAGTGATCCTCCCATCTCAGTCTCCCAAAGTGTTGGGATTATACGCATGAGCCACTGTGCCTGGCCTGAAGCATTTTTACAATAGGCCAATTAAATTTATGAGTGAAATGTTTGGTTCCTTATTTTTGTTATTCTGTATATTTCTAAACTCTTTCCTTTAATAAAATTTAACAGCCTACAATCCCTCTCCCAAATATCCTGTTTCTTCTCTGATTTTGCTTTTCAAGGATTTTGTCTTTAAACTTTTTCAAACCAAATTCCCAGTAAAATACAACACAAATAGAAATGATTCCAAATTGAGTGGCTTGTGTATTACCATGCCTACCATCTTGCTGATTCCATAGTTCAGGACCACACAAAGTAAGGCCTTTAACACATCAACTGCCAAATAATATCTAATAAACAACTGTTTTAATAAAAAGTAAGCCATCACTGAGTGACATTTTTAAAAAAGCAGAGGAACAGGTTGCATAAAATCACCAATTCAAATTAGTTGTTTTGAAGACAATATTTAAACACAAAAAGGAAAGATGGCTAAGTGTTGTGAATGAACATGCATATGTATTTTTTCAGTTTCAAATGAAGATACTAAAATGAATTATATAGCTATTGTAAAAAGTACTAGGACATAAACACACATAAAGGTCAATGTAACATAACAGGCCAGGGGCAGTGGCTCACACCTGTAATCCCAGCACTCTAGGAGACCGAGGAGGGCGGATCACTTTAGGTCAGGAGTTCAAGACCAGCCTGGTCAACACAGTGAAACCCCGTCTCTACTATAAATACAAAAATGAGTCAGACGTGGTGGCACGTGCCTGTAGCTCAGCTACTCGAGAGGCTGAGGCAGGAGAATTGTTTGAATCTGTGAGGCGGAGGGTGCAGTGAGTGAAGATTGCACCACTGCACTCCTGCCTGGGCGACAGAGCAAGACTCCATCTCAAAAAAACAGTAATAATAGAAAAAATAAAAGATCAATGTAATATGATCCAGAAATAGATCTTGATGCACAGAGGAACTCAGAGTATTAATAAGGTGGTATTTTAAATTATACAATTTGTAAGCTATCTGGAGAAAAATTTTTTAAAATTCCTATCTTACTTCTTACACAAAATAAATTCTAGATGGTTTGAGTTAAACATAAAAAAGAAGTCCTATAAGTACAGGAGAAAAATCTGAAGAAGACCTTAACAAGACACAAAACCAAGAAAAATATAGATAAATCTGACAAGCAAAAAGTTATTTACATGAATTTCTTAAAGGTCATAACAATAACCAAACAACGCTGAAATAATCTATGTCGGCATACCTGTAAAAAGTGTGCCAGGACCATATTCATGTACATGTCTTCCTCCTCCCTGCCACTGCCCATAAAACAGAGGTGCTCCCCACCAGCTATGGAGCCAGACTCAATGGACTGCTTCTGTGCTTCCAGCAAGGATTTTACTGACTGTGCAAACTCAGATGGATTCTGGAGCATCTAGACAAATTTTTAAAAGTTAAAAACTTGGCAAGCCTGGTTTATATACATTTGCAAACTTGAAATTTTTTTTAGGAAAAACCCCAATATTTAAAGAGACACAATGAACACAAAGGAAAAAAAGGCTCTTCTAAATAAAATCCTGGGATAAATGCTATATTTATAAATGTATCTTTAATACATTAGAGCAAAAGTTGAACATTCACAGAAAGACTGAAGCAAGTAAAATACTTCTATACTAGAGAAAAACTTTGTTGTTTTTTCTTATATAACAAGTAGCTACAGTGTCCTTAGGTATCATGACAGAAAGAACAGAAAACTATAGGTTAAAACAAGCTCTATTTTTTAGTTTCCACTTACATGGTAAACCATGTATTTCTTATAGGAATAGTCAGAAATAACAGAAAGCATTTATTTATCAGCACTATTCCAGGTAATGGAGACACAAGGATGAAATATTCATTTCATACCCTCAAGGAAACAAGTATGACAATGACAACAAAGATGTTTAAAAGCCATTTTAATGGAGATACATAAAAAGTATGGTGAATAATTAATAGAAAAATGGACAAACCATATAGAAAAGCAATTTGTAAAAAACAAAAGCAAATATAAATAAATAGCACACTCACAAAAAATAATGTCAACCTCATCAGTAATTACAACTATTTTTACTTAACATTCTGGTAAGGTACGAAAAGATTGATAATGTTCAATAATGCTGATGGCATTCTCATTTACAGTTCTGAAACATAAGGTGGTTCCGCCTTTTTAAAGGGCCATACGGTGGTCTCTAGTAAAATGCATATGCCCAGACAACTCAACGAAACAATTTTACTTTTAAGAATCTGTTTTACAGAAATATTCGCATAACTTCACAAAGTGTATATAAAGATGTTAACTGCAGCATTGTTTATTACAAGAAAAAAAAAAACCCGAATATACATCAATCAGGCAATAAATTATAGTATACCTACATGTACCATGGACCACTATGCATCATTAAAAAGAATGTACTTATATCAAAAGATCTCTTAGAAACTGTTAAGTGAAAAATCAAGCGGCAAAACAAGAAATATATAAATAGATATTAAAGGTCTAGAAGATTAAGTAAATTGATAATATTCTTTAAATTTTTTTCTTTTTAAAATTTTAAAATTTTTATTTTTTTACTCCATTCTGCAGATGAAACTTTAAAATGTTTTAAAAATTCAAGCCAGGTGTGATGGCTCATGCCTATAATCCCAACACTTTGGGAGGCTGAGCAGATGGATCACTTGAAGCCAGGAGCTTGAAACCAGCCTGGCCAACATGGTGAAACCCCCTCCTCTAGTAAAAATACAAAATAGCCAGGTGTGGTGGCACACAACTGTAGTCAGGAGGCTGAGGCAGGAGAATCACCAGAACTCAGGAGGCTGAGGTTGCAGTGAGCCGAGATCATACCATTGCACTCCAGCCTGGGGGACAGAGTGAGACTCTGTCTCAAAAAATATATATATATTAATTCACGTATTCATGAATCATTTGAGTAAAATTTTAAAATAGAAATGAGAGAGGAATCAAGGAAGAGAAAGGCAGAGTTTACCTACAGAATATGGATGGGCTAAGATGGCCTTTCTTGTAATATCTGAAACCCTGATTTCTTCTACTAGTTTTTCTCTCAATATCACCTAGGCTAGTTTTCTCTCAATATCACCTCTCAATATCACACATCCTTTCAGTCTTAGCATCAAATTTTTCAGACAAATTGGGAAGGGGAAGGGTAGACTTAATATTTAGCAAAGAGGTTTCTTATCGCATCCCTGGGTTCCCCGTCCCTGAGGCTTTAATGATCCCAGGATGGCTTAAATGATGTTAGCCTTAATTCTACCAACGGCTCTATTCATCTCTGACAATATTTAATTATTTACTTTACCCATTCTTCAAATTAAATGACCTAGGATAGTAGTTTTAACAACTAAGTACTTATATGCCAGATACTACCCTTATTAAATATTCATTTATTATATGCATAAATACTTATGATTAAAAATGGCTTATACTAAAAAGCCTACAGAATTCTTACTCAATTACAATAAAAGCTGATATCCAAAAAGTACTTCGGAGGTGCAATGCACTATGCTAAGTGCTCTATTAGGTAGCTCAAACTAAGTTCAGAATTTACTGACATAACAATGGTAAGCAATAGTAAGTCACAGTGAGCATTGTTTTGGACTACCCTTTATGATGCCAAAAGGGTATCTGGGCCAGGCATGGTGGCTCACACCTGTAATCCCAGCCCTTTGGGAGGCTGAGGCAGGGTGTCACCTGAGGTCAGAAGTTTGAGACCAGCCTGACCAACACAGTGAAACACCACCTCTAGTAAAAATATAAGAAATTAACCGGGCATGGTGGCAGGTGCCTGTAATCCCAGCTACTTGGGAGGCTGAGACAGAATCGCTTGAACCCGGGAGATGGAGGAGCAAGATCATGTCTTTGCAGTGAGCCAAGATCACGCCACTGCACTCCTGCCTGGGCAACAAGAGCAAAACTCCATCTCAAAAACAAACAAACAAGCAAAACTAAACAAAAGGGTATCTGGGTGAAAAGGAAACCTGACAGCAACACTTTTAAGAGCAGAGACTCCCTCCTTAAGGAAAAAGAAAAAATTCCCCAATTTGGGACCTATAAACTAAAGAAAAAAAAGTTACTTTAAAAATAATTAATCAGCATTTATACTAACCAGATCTGAATCTAAATGGAAAGCAGTTGATAAATGCCCAGCATTATATTGTTCTGCAGGACGGCAATCCACCACAAAGAACCGGACTCCTTCCTAAAAAAGAAATAACATTTGACATACAGAAATTTGCGATGAGGTTCACATTGCACAATATAATATTGAGAGTTAACTGAAGAAAGGGAACAAGTTTATTAAAAAATGGATGTCACATGGAATTAGGAGGACCTAGTTAGTACAGAAAATAACCTGAAGGTCCTAAATATTTTCATTTCTTTTAAACAGTTAAAACATTTTTTTAAATGTTGTTCCTTACTGGAAAGTCTTAAAATACACAGCAGGAGAGTGTCTGAGCTATAAAACTAATTATACTGGAATTTGACAATGTACTATGTAAATGCTATACAGTTAAAAACACAACTCTAGATATGCTATTCTTATTTTTGCAAATCTGCAAATTTATCAACAGCTCAATTCACGTAAGAACTAAACATCTATTTTGTGTGGGGGGAATGAGAGGAAAATGTTCTACAATACTAGTTTCAACTAAAGAAGTTCTCATGGGTCTTTTAAACTAGATAATATGTTTTCATATGTTTTTGTTTTTTAAGAGATGAGGTTTCACCATGTTGGCCAGGATGGTCTCGATCTCTTGACCTCATGATCTGCCCACCTGGGCCTCCCAAAGTGCTGGGATTATAGGCGTGAGCCACCACCGCACCTGGCCTCATTTATTTTTTAATATTAGTTTGAATAAGAAAAAAGTGAGATGCTCGTATTTTGAAAATTCTCAGTAACCAGTATAGATACAGTAAGAAATCCAACTAAGAATGATCTACCATAAAAGGCCATCTTCCCATGTTCATTTCTCTCCTGCCCTCAACCTTGGAAATACACTACACCTTCCAAATGCACACCATGGTTAACTGTTGCACCACTAGTAGTAAAGAGCGTATATTAAAAACATCATTGGTCAAAGTGACTCATTAGATTTTTATGAAGAAAATTGTATTTTCACAATTTTCCTTTGCTACAAGTTTTATGGAACTAAACCATGTAATTCAATTAGCTGTTAACTACCAGAAACTTTTAAATGCTAAAGTACACCCTTTTAAGTACTTTATACAATGACACATTGTTTCTCTACTGAAATATGAAAAAAGATATGGCGATTTACAAAAGTTGGTGTCAAGAATTACAATAATTAATTATAGACAAGTAACACAACACACAGGCTGACAAGTTTTAAAATGACCCTCTGAACATAACATTTAACACAATCGTTCAAAAAGGCAAAAGAGCCACCTTGTTGCAGTAAATCGATTTTGTGGGAATCAATGAACAGGGAGGAAGTTGGTTCCTTGTATTTAAAAGGGACAGTCCCCTAACAAACTGGGTTTCCTTTACTCACCCCTTGTAGCTGATTTGCTTGAAGGATCTCTGACACTGAGATGGCCAGACAAAGAGCTTGACTCAGATCCGCATCATCATCCTTAATTCCCAACAAAGTACTACCAAAGAGATGGTGATTATCCTGTTGGAAAAAAAATTTTCAAACATTATTAAAAAATCAAAATTTCTTCCTAAAAATATTCTTATTAAACTATGATAAAAGGTAAAATTAATATATTCTTGAGTTGTGATTTTTAAAACTTAATACTACATAATCTCAAATTTCATAGGCGAAGAATTATAAAAAAGTCACATGAAGTCCCTGTAGTGCTCACATGAAATGAAAGACTAAAAGAAAAAAACACACATTCTACTTAGCTATTTTCCACACTATCATCTGCAGTTAATACTAAATTTTAAAAATGGTTACTTAAAATTTTTCATATCTTAATAAAATAAAAAATGTGGCAGAAATGAGCTGCATAAATGAGTTAATATGCTGATCCACAGCCTGCTCTAATTCGCAACTGCTACTACAGATTTGTTATGTCTGAAGAATAAAAGGTGCACCTTCTGAAACAGAAAATAAGCCTTTTTTTCACTCAATGTTTTAAACTACTATCTTACCATCTGACACGCAACATTGTTGGGAGCTGAAGTTCTATATAAGAAAATTATTAAAATAGCTGAAATTAGTCCCTAGAAATAAGCTTTTTTTAAATTAGTTATTTTTAAGGGAAAATGTTCTTAAAAGACTTCCTCTACCTGCTTTATAAAACACATAATCTAACTTTATCTTAACACTTCAGTGACAATAATGAGTACCAACTGGAAATTATTATGACAGAATACTTTTTAAAAAAGACAATAAATAATGCTCTCATGGGCACCTGAAGTCATATACACACCTGTTTGCTTTATAAATATAAACTTGTGCCTCTTCCACTATTACCTTGTGCTTCTTAGTTTCATTTTTCAGGAGTTCATATCACTCATATGTCTAATCTGATGTCCTTTATTGAAAGCACTTGTCTGGTCTAAGGATCTAGGTCTTTATGGGTCTAAATGACCTTTCTTTTTAAGACAGCTTTGCATCACTAAGACTGTACAAGGATGAACTCCAGAAAAAAGTGGCATAACTCTACCCCCTCCACTGGATTACTGCAGTAAAATAATTTTTAAAGTCAAGAAAGGATTAATTTAGAAAATATTTCACAGTCAATTTTCTTATGATCAGAGATAACAGTAATCAGAAGAGAGGTAAGATGCTTCCTACTATCTTTCTCACGTGTCTGTTCCTCCACTAGGGAGGGTATTTACTGAAGGGAAAAAGAAATCACACAAAACTACAACACGTAAAGAAACAGAAAAAACTGACAATCTAAAGTATTTTAACTAAAGTGAATACAAAGTAATAAAACAATGTACAGAATGTGAAATACAAAACTGTTGGTCATTTCTTGTTTTATACCTTCCTAAAAGAAGCTGGCGTTTTACTGCAATAATACTGAGCCAGGGAGAAAAGGTCTTCTATATCTTCTAGATTCAGACTGGATGGAGTATTTTCCAAGAACTCTGAAATAAGATTATAGACATAATATTTAGTAGTTTATGAAAACTGCAAACATTGTTTATGTATCAGAACTGAAATATCTTCAACATAAATACTCTGTAAATGGAATCTCAACAGTGGTGCTTTTACAACTGCAGAGAAGTGGATTTTCCCAAATGAGCTGAAACTGTTAATATAAATCTCTTGTTAGTGAAGGATGGTGTCAGGCAATCAAAACAAATTCATTAATCTTAATTAGAATTCTATGATTTATTTATCTAACATATATGAAGAAGTGACAGGGCTCTAACATACAAAATGTCTTAAGAAATAGTTACTGATTGGATCAAGGCAACAAGAAGAGCTAACGATCCTAAATATATATGCACCCAATACAGGAGCACCCAGATACATAAGGCAAGATCTTAATGACTTACAAAGAGACTGAGACTCCCACACAATTATAGTGGGAGACTTTAACACCCCATTGTCATTATTAGACAGATCAACCAGATAGAAAATTAACAAGGATATCCAGGACTTGAACTCAGACCTGGACTAAGCAAACCTAATAGACATTTACAGAACTCTCCACCCCAAATCCACAGAATATACATTCTTCTCAGCACCACATCACACCTACTCTAAAATTGACCACATA